TGCAACTGTGTTTATAGTGGCACAGTTTTTAATAGCCGAATGTTGGAAACAACCCAACTGCCTATCAACTGGTGAATTGGTGAAGAAAATGTGAGGGGGCTTGCCCGTTAGCTCAGCTGTTTAAGCACCTATATGGGCAAACTCAGTCAGCCTAGGGGGACCACGGTTTGATCCCCAGCTCTTGGGAGGCTGTAAGCAGGAGAATCATTATGAGTACAATCTAGTAGTGAGACCCTGAACACCCTGTAGACCCTTCCCTAAAATACAGAAAAAAAAGAAAATGTGGGGTTTTCTTTTTTAATACAAATATACAATAGAGTCCTACTCTGCCATGAAGGATAAGCTCAAGACATTTTTAGGTAAATTGATGCTCCTGGAGACCATACTCTTTTAAGTGTGTAAATACAGTCTGGTGTGAGAAATGTGCAGATACTAAAGTGTACAATGGATATTGTGAAATAGGAACAGATTGTTAGAATGAGGAGCAGAACCAAGGGAGGGGGAAAGAAAAGAAGGGAAAAGTTTTTAAAAAATGAGAAAAGAAAGAAAAAAATGGAAATAAAGCTTTTGTAAATGGAGAGGGAAGCAGAGGTTAAAGGAAGGGTGTGGGAGGAGAAAAGAAAGTAGAGACAAGTTATATGCATGTACAGATTCTCTGTGATGAATGTGATCATTATGTATATCTAAAATGTGTCAAAATCTGATTGGAAAAGATAAAAACAGATAAAAGAAAATTAGACTCTGGAAAAGTGTCGGTTGAATGGGTGTATGGGAGACTAGCTCTGCAGAGCAAACTTGGGCCCAACAAGAAGGAAAAAGCGAAAATGAAAATGTTGCAGGCAGCGGAGTTAGATAGAAATATTATAGGCAGTCAGACAGGGTCAGGCCCTCAAAGGAGGTGACAAAGAAGACGAGAGGCCTTACAGCTGTGGGCGGGACGGATGTTCCTGCTGTGAGCCAGAGACCAAACAAATGCTAACCTCTCTAAAGAATAGCATCTGGGATTGATCATTACCCTGAGAAAGCCAGAAAGAATCCTTATCTGATGGCTACCAGATAAGGTCCTGTCTTACATTCTTGCCCCCTTGCTAAGTGACTCCCTTCCCCATTTGTTCCTGGGCCTAATCAATTTTACCTGCACAGATGGCTCAGTAGAATAAGCGCTTCCCTGGCAAGCGCAAAGGCCCGAGTTCAATCCCCGGTTGGGGCAGAGGTGGGGGGACTTACCTGAGCAATGGTGCTTGTAATCCCATTGGTTGACCATAGTTTTGTCCTGCCCCACATCCATCTAAGTGAGTTCCCCCTTTCTCTGCCTTAGCCCCACATGGTTTTACTCTATAATAAAGTCCCTGGAAGAGATAGCTTCCTGGGGACAACCTGCTGGGGGTTGGGGGGACTCCTGTCCCTCTTTCGAACAGGAGCTTTCTTTCCCTCAATAAATATATTCTGCTGGGGAGATAGCTCAGTAGGATATGTGCTTGCCTGGCAAGTGCAAGAACCTGAGTTCAATCCCCAGTTCTGCCATAAATAAATAAATAAATAAATATGTTCTGCTCATAACCTCCATTTGTTCCTAAAATTCATTCTTCGATTTGAGAGAACACGAACTTGTGCAAGTCAGGTCAGGAGATTATTTTTTCCCTATGTAATTTGGAGGTTCCCTGTATCACTTGGAAGTCACCCACCCAAGATCAGTTTTTCTCCCTTTATCAGAAGCACATGCTGCATCTCAGAAATACAGCGCAGCTATCATGGGAGCTGGATACAGGCCTCCCACAGCATGGTCCTCTTTTATGCCTTTTAGATCTTGTGGGAGCTCAAGGGAAGTTCTCCATAGGTGGTCCGGGTGTTGTCCTAGGCTCTTGTAATTGATGGATCCCATGCATTTCCCCAGCCCCCTTTTTGCCACAACTTGTCTCCCCTATCAGTTGGATCCTGGATGTATTTTGAGGATAGTAGTGAGGTGCACCTACATTGCATGTGAATTTTGAAAAAGGGATGGTAATTAGGATGACATATAGCCCTATTCCCATGTATTGATTGATATAAACAGCTGACTAGCACTTTTCGTGATCCTTCACTTAGATTTAAGCAAGATAGTGTTTGAAGCAAGCACCAACCCCCAAAGTTAGATACAACCTTCAGTTCTGTTATGCAGATTACTCCTCCCGCATACTGCATTGGTGATTCCAGACCACCTACCTAGCCCAGCTCACCAGCACTCACATACTTCCTGCTCACGTCACTCAACCTCCAGCCATTCCATTCCTCATTGATTAGTAAAACTCAGATTAAGACTCCTTGGCTCACCACAACTACAACTTGGTCTTAGGGTCATTATGCTCGCTGTAGGTTGCCCTGGAAGAGGTTATTGGAACCAACTTGTGAGAATTAGGTTATCCTCGTTACCTTCCCTTTTTCAAAATTCACATGCAGTGTACGTGCACCTCCCTATTATCCTCAAAATACATCCAGGATCCAACTGATAGGGGAGACAGGTTGTGGCAAAGTACCAAACTTCTGGTACATTGCTATATAGTCCTTGCAAACTAGTACACTTACTTATATTGGGCTGTCATGGGACTGTAAATATTTTGAGAAGGATCACCTTTAGCATTCTATCTCTTGCACCTAGACCTAATAGGAAATCAACAAATATCCTTGCTAGAAACTTTTTTTCGGATTACAAATGTAAATGACAAAGACCGAAGTGAAGGGCTCATATAAGTTTATTGTCCACTGTACCTAAATCTGTAAGTGTGAGTTTGGGGCTCACAGGGTTAGTTCCTTTGGGATTAGTGAGGGAGAATCTGTCCCATGCCTCCACCATAATATTGACTTTTCTTAGTTTGTAGATCTCTGTCTTATCTTCACATGGCTTCTTCCAAAATGGCAATTCTGTGTCCAAGTTTCTAGTTTTTATGACCAGTGACTTTGGATTTTATGTGCACCCTACCGCAATATAACCTCTTAGCTACGGTAATTATATCTGCAGTGACCCTGTTTGCAAATAAGGTCACAGTCTGAGGTAATGGGAACTAGGAAGTCAGAATATGAATTTTGAGGTGGGGGGGTCAAATGAGCATAACCCTATAATCCCAGCACTTGAGAGGCTGAGGCAGGAGGATTACCACTTGGGCTGCATGGTGAGTTAAAGGCCAGCCTGTGCACTTAGAAAGTCTGTTCAGAAATCCAAAAAAGAAAATAATTTGAGGGAAATACAGCTTAACCCATAACGAGGGCCGGGGAGATGGCTCAGTGGAATAAGCGCTTCCCTGGCAAGCGCAAGGGCCTGAGTTCAATCCCCGGTTTTGCAAAAA